GAGGCAACCGCCCTACATGAATACCTAGACCATGTTGCGCCATGGAGACCGGTGATGTGTTACTCTCGTGAAGGTCGTGGCGGGTGATATCGGAACATGTCTTCTTGTCGGTCGAGCAACCGCCGTCGGCTGGCTCATCTGCCAGCCGCGCACTGCTGCCCTCGACATCACAAGCTTACTCAACGACATCAAGCTGGCCGCACGAGCCCGGGAAAGACGAGTCTGCGGCGTCGCTCAAGACCGTTGCCGTCACACATTCCTCAGTCGCCTTTTCCAGCGGGACTGTGGCTTGCGGTGGGTGCCGTGGCGTGGCCACGCTGAACGGCATGACTGCTCACCCGTACTGACGAACGTCTCCGTCAGCCAAAGGTCACGATCGCAAGCTCTCAGACATGGCACCGAAATCTTCAACATAGTTGGAGCAAGACAATGGTCATGTATTGCTATCGAAACAACGCTTGACGGGCTGGCTTCGCACCAACCCCTCTTTTGCTTGCTCGCCTTGAGCCAGGGAATGTAACTGATGATGGGCATACCATCACGACAAGTAGAGAACAGAGATGAAAGCAGCAGCAAACAAACAACGAACCGCGACCGCAACAGCACTCGTGCTCAGACAAGCAATTGCCGCAATTCTACCAAGGACCACTTCACGCGGCCTCGCCACCCAGCTGCTGAACCGCGACAGGCTTCACCTCCTCGGCCTGCTGAATCTGCGCCTCCAGGATCGGCTCGCCAGCCGTGTTGCTGGCCAGCGTCTTGACCTGCTCCGTCGGCTCCTCGACAGGCGCAGGATCGGTCTCCTGAGGTTTTGTCGCCTCGGGAGAGACCTGCTGCTCCGTACTCGTCGTGGCAGTTTCGGGCTCTAGCTTCTCGCTCGGCACAAAGCTGTCGACCCCCTTCTCGGCAGCTTCGAATGCTGTCGAGGCAGGCTCGACGGGTTTGGACACTGGTTTGGACACTGGTTCGGGCACAGACTCCTCCTCAGCGGCTTCGGGTGCGGCCTCGATCTCGGGCTCCTCCTTCTTTGGCTGAGGTTTGCTGTTCTCGATCTCAAGGATACCATCATCACCGATGCTCCAACACGTCCTCAGGGGCGAGAAGCTCAACGTGGGCCCACTGGACCTGTGATCCGCGGCCTGCGACTGGCTCTTCGCCGCAGGGGCCCGGCGCTGAGGACCGCGGGCGCGGCCTTTCCTAGCGTCGGCGAGCGGTGCCTTCTCCTTCTCCTCAACCATGTCTGCCGCCGGGGGTTCCTCCTTCTTGGCGGGGGCTTGTGGGCCTTGCTGCAGCCGTTTGTTGAGGTCCGACATGAAGCCGGCCTGCAGGGCCTGAATCTTGCTGCCGACGGGGCGAGCAGGCACCGCCGGCTTTTGCCTCGGCGCAGCATCCTGCTCCTTGGAATCAACGCCCGAGGGCAAAGTTTTGGTGGGGCGTGCCGGCACCTGAGGCTTCGGCTTGTCGGAGATGACTGGCCTGAGACGCTCGTCGCTCGGTGTCGAGCTTGGCTTGGGTCTCTCGGGAATCGTGGGCTTGTCAGTGGAGAGCTTCTTTTGCGGGCGAGCAGGCACTGCAGGCCTCGAGGTGGCAGAGGGCTCATCATTGGCGTTGTTCGACTCGTTCGGCTCGGCAGACTCGGGGTCGGGGCTGTCGACGGTGGTCTCATGCATCAGACTCTCTGGCGTGTCTTCCCAGACATCGCGGCTGGGGAAGCGATTGGCATGGGGCCGCGCCTCATGGGACTTCATTCGCTGGACTGGGTGAGGCCTGGGCACGTGCGTCTGGCGGAGACCATAGCTCTCGGGCGACTGACGTGACTCCTTTTCGGCCAGTTCCTCTTGTTGCCTGGCAAAGGCCTGTGCCGGTGTCTCGGTACGGATGACTTCGTGGTGCGACGGAATGAACTCTTCCTCCTCGAATTCAGGCGTCGAGACCATGGCCGTCGCATTGACGCTGTCGGGGGCATCTTCCCAGATATCCTTGCTAGGGAACTTGTGGCGCGGCTGGTTCGCCTTGGCAGCAGCCTTCCTCTTCTGCTCCTCCTCTTCGGGAAACAGAGGCTCGTATTCCGTGACGTCCTCCAGCGGGGTCGACGTCAGCTCGACTTGGGACTGCGAGCCGTGGTGATACAGACTGGAGGGGCGGCTGTTGGGACGGCTGGCGTTCTCATCATCTAGGAAGCTACCGCGACGGTCGGCAGGGACGGCGGCGTCCTTGTTGTAGTGGTGAGGGTTCTTGGCGACTTCGTCGGCAGCAAGGATGGGGGTGTTGTACTCCTCCTCCTGAGCAAGGTTTTCGCGGCTGTTGAGGAAGCTCCTGCTGCGGTTGTGGTCGGCATCGACATGAATGACGTCGCCATCATCATCGACAGCGACAGAAGCGGAGGCCGGGGCGGGGGAGTCCTTGCGCGGGGTAGAAGCGCGACGCAGCTCCGGGGACCTGGGGGCGGCAGAACCCGGGCGGGAGTGCATGCGATGCGCGTACTCTTCGGACGCCTGGTATCCAACCTCTTCGCTGGGCGTTCCGGTGTAGTTTGTAGAGGTGCCTGATTGTACTGGTTAGACGTGGGACGCTGAACTAGGCGCTTCTTGACTCGACGTACCTACGCCCGCCTCGCGGGTGTCACGAACAATCTTGTTGAGATCGGTGCTGCTCATGGCGAAGTCATTCTGGCGATCGTGGAGGGAGATTTGCGATTCCCTCTTCTTCGATTCGGGGTGCTTCTCGTACCAAGCACGCTCAAACTTGTCGTTGCTGGGCGTGCCGTGGCCGTGAAGGCCGTAGCTGCCGGGAGGCGCATCGGGGTAGCCGCGCGAACTCAGCTTGCGTCCGTGGTGGCGAGGGGTGTGCGACCTGGCGGACTCTTGGGCGTGGGAACTGGGAGCCGGCGAAGGGGCCTGGACATCACCAAGATGGGGGTTCAAGGGCACCTGCTGGCCAATCTCGGGAATGCCGTGCTCCTCGTCGTCAAAGACTTCACATGCTGCCCGCCTCGGAGGCCTGTCCGATACTGGACC